AAGGGAGAAGCAGTTGATGGCTGGGGGACTTCCAAACAGAAGGAAAATACTGGGATTGGGGATGTTCTTCTAGCGTCATCTCCGCTGTTGAGGCGTTAGGAGCTAGTCAACAGGACTTCCCTCTAAGGAGAGTCCAGGTGAGTTGTTGGCTCTTAATTACAGTCCCTTGTGTCACGAAAAAAAACAACATATCAATCAAAATATGAGTCCACGGTGCAGACCAAGGGGCAGCGTGGAGGGTAGGAGTCAACACTTTTGAATTGTATGTTGATGTCATCCTGGTTGCCCAACGACAAATCACTTAATAACTCCAGGGTTAGGTTCGGTTTGAATATGTAAATAGGCAACTGCCTCCAAAATTCCCTTATAAAGCAGATTGGGAAACTCTTGGCTTATTAACATGTTAAGGGAAAAGTCATAATTGTTTTCTCCTGACTGTGTCAAATCAGAAATGCTAAAAACTAGAGACAGAAGATAAATATGAATGTGACTACTTAATTAATTGTTAGCATTGCCAAGAGATGCATATAATTGCTTGGACAACCTTTTGGAAGATATAAAAGTTCACCATCTCCTGTTCCTCCTTCATTCAGCATCAGCTCTGGGTGATCTTCCTTTTGCTTGCTCCAGTAAAGGGTAAGTTGGATTATATTGATTTATCGACTACTGAGCAGCAGGAGCTCACATAGGAATTCTAACTGACTAGTTCTGTGTTTAGTCTTTGCTTTTGTCTTAGAAATATCTTTATTTTTGCTCACTGGGTGCCTGAATATATAAGCTACACAAAGGGTGTTCATGGTTTGCTCACAGCAGATAGGATGCCAGAAAAATAGGAGAAATTGAAGGACCAGATCTGTGAAGACACAGACTCTTTGGGACCCAACAAGGAATTAATTCCCAAACAAGCTGGTGATAGAAGGAGATATATCTCAGAGAAGTCAGTGCAGTTTTAGAAGTAAATTTTACCTTAAAAAGCCAGCAGTGGTATCTTGGTAGGGAAATTCCCATCAGAGCTGGACCGCCATAGAGTATCCTCTAAAAGACAAGTCAGTATCTCTTCCAGGGTCAAGATATTCCATATATCAAAAAAGAGAGGAAAATAACATTTCCCAGGCTGTTAAAGAAAAAGAGCCAAGGAAAATGCAGAAGTTCTCAGTAGAGCAGCTGCACCAGCTTGATGATCTCTCTCTCTTCCCTCCAGCTTTGCCAACTCTCCAGAAAGATGTGCTCCCGTGGATCCTGCCACAGCCACGAAACCTCCTGCCACAGATCCCGATCTTCCTGCCATGGATCCCACTCCTCTTGCCATGATTTGGAGTCCTCCTGCCATTACACCATCCAGAGGCAGCCTGTGCAGAAGTTCACTTATGTGACACCCTATTGCCCCCCTCTGCAGCCCTATTGCCCCCCTGTGCAACGCTATTGCCCCCCTGTGCAACCCTATTGCCCCCCTGTGCAACCCTATTGCCCTCCAATCACCTACTGCCCCCAGTACACCAAGAACATCTGCAAGCTGCCACCAACATGTCCCAAGTACTAGGATAAGAATCCGGCCCCAGACCTGGACCCACCGGCTCGCTCATCCCTTGGAAGGTGTGGGCGCGGGTCCCAAGTACTAGGAGAAGAATCCAGCCCCAGACCTGGACCCACCGGCTCGCTCCTCCCTTGGACGCTGTGGCCACGGATCATCTCATCCTTACAGAAATCCCTGGGTCTCTGCCATGTGCCTCACTGCTGGTCTGGATGAAGTGTTCCCCTAATTACCATTGGAGGTGTCATTCTTTCTAATTATTCAGGAAATGTTCTTTCTAATTATTCAGGGCATAATTAGTGTTGGGAATCTTTCTATGCCATGCACTTCTGCTTCAGACTCATCTGGGTGTGGGAAATAATAAATCTTACAATTCATGAGACCTGCATTGTCTTTCAATTTCTTTATTCATTTTTTTTTTCCTTTAGAATTTTTTTTTTCTTTATTTCTGGATTCTTCAGTCAAATTTCCTCATGTTCTCAAAGTGCCCCAATAGTTGGTGGCCAATAACAACAATTCCTAAGTTCATTTGAGAAGAAAACACACATATAAGTAAAGGAAAAAGTTCTTAACTCCCAAAAATCTAAAGGGCTGAGGAGAACAAAGCTTCCCCTGCTTACACCAGATGAACTGGTCTATGCAGATTTTAACCCCATCGTTTTGAAAACAATGAGATGAAAGGCAATTAAATGCAAACTCTCTTGTTTTGGAGACAAGCGTAGCTCATTAAATGAAAGAAGAATAAGTAGCTCACAGTTGTTAATATTCTTACTCAATACATGCAACAATTTACTCCAAGTTCAACTTCAGAACTTGGGCATCTAAATATTTTTAAATCTCTTAATACTTCAGCCTCTGAAAGCAGAAGTCACAAACTTTTTTCATCTTACAGGGTTGCTTATCACTAGTAGATACTTTGAAGAGGAGAAATGGATTAGGTCAGAGAAGGTCCATCTCATGGAAGACATGCCCTCACCGAGCACAACTCAGAACACCACAGTATGTTATTATGGAGAGCTCGTAAACCAAACGTTGCTGAGTGTAACTGAGCAAGAATCAACCCCTTCATTGCTCTAAAAATGACATTTCATCGCTGTAGATTGGCCTTTCCTTACATACTCTCCTAAAAGAACTGCAAGCAATGGATTAACTCTTCAGAGATGATGTTTTTCTATAGCAGGATCCGAATTTGAAAGCTTCTGAAATATTTTTTGAGTGGGTGTAACCTAGGACACCCCAATTTGGAAGAACTATTGAAGAGGTAGAAAGATTTTGGAGGAACATTGGTATGATGCTTCAGACCAAAGTATGGAGGAAAGGAGAACTGTCACACAAGCAACGGTTTGGCCAACTGGGCAGTTGTAGCCTCTCTTGGTTTTGGACCCACAACTGAGTCACCAAATGCCCCTGAGGAATTCTTACAATCCTCCCTTGTTGCACTAAACTCACTGCAAACCTCTATCTTGCCTCTAGCCTGAAGAAAAGCTGTAGGACACCCATAGGTTAGAGAGAGCTTCTCATTAGCGGTTAGCGAATTACTCTAATGGGTAACATTTTCCAAAGTTGATGAGTTACGGGGTTTCATTTTCTGAGGCTTCAAAGACTGAGTCAAATAGGATTATAAATCCAGCTTCAATGTCCATAATTACACCACTAGTGACAGAACCCAATATTTCCTCAAACTTCAGGTCAAAATACTCCCTTTCTCTGATTCCTTTTGCTTTCCAGACATCTCCACAGTTAAAGTCAGGTGAAAAAAAAAAAAAGTAGAAGAAATCAGTGAAGGGACAGAGAAACCAAGAAATAGAAAAACTTAATATACTTATATGAGGGGTATGATCCAAGGGCTGGATGACCCGAGGGCTGGAGCAGCTCTCCTATGAAGACAGGCTGAGAGAGTTGGGGCTGTTCAGCCTGGAGAAGAGAAGGCTCCAGGGAGATCTTATAGCGGCCTCCCAGTACCTGAAGGGGCTACAAGAAAGCTGGGGAAGGACTTTTCATAAGGGCAGTTAATGACAAAACAAGGGGAAATGGGTTTAAGCTGAAAGAGGGGAGGTTTAGATGAGATATTAGGAAGAAGTTCTTCACTGTGAGGGTGGTCAGACACTGGAACAGGTTGGCCAGAGAAGCTGTGGCTGCTCCTCCCTGGAAGTGTTCTCGGCCAGGCTGGATGAGGCTTTGAGCAACCTGGTCTAGTGGAAGGTGTCCCTGCTGCTGGCAGGGGGGTTGGAACTGGATGATCTTTAAGGTCCCTTCCAACCCAAACCAGTCTATGATTCTCTGATTCTATACCTGGTACAGAGCACATTGCCAGATATTTTTCACGGATCTTAAGTACTAAATAACCTTTGATACATGTGGAACAATCATACGGGCTCAATCAAGTCATCTGGCAAGTCAAGGAACACGTGAAGAATTAGAAATATTTTATTTTTTATTGTACTAGGGAACCGAAGAGATCACACCAGACTTCCCAGTATCGTGCCATACCCATGAGTTGCAGCTGCTAATCCCATTTCCTCTTGGCATTCAACAACAGGTCAATTAAAATCCTTGTGCTGTCACCTGCACAAAACGGTTGGCCTACCCCAAGAGTCAGCATTTCTGAGATGGAAAGACCTTTCTGTCACTGATGCAATCCCAGTTTGCCCAGTGGCAAGCTAATTAATACCTCTGAGATTAGTGGTTCCCTTCAGGAAATAGGAAAATAAATAAATAAATAAATAGATAGATAAAGTAATGCCTTTCCAAATCATTATAGGAAATGCATCAGGAGTTACAAACGGGATGAAACACGACGCATCAAAAGCGGAAACGCTAAAAATAGGAGAGCATGAGGATAATTAAATTGTCATTGCAAAGAGGTGGCTCATATCCGAGATAACCTTTTGGAGCTGTATAAAAAGACTGCTCAACCCAGTTCTCCTCAGTCACTCGCCTTCACTTCCAGACTCTTCTCCCTGAAGCTGAAGAGGGTAAGACCAATTTTATTATTTCTGTTGATGCTGAGAGAGAAGAAACCTCTATTAGAGGTTTTTATGGACCTTCTGGGAGCTGGGACTTACCTAAATGCCTTCTGCTTGCACCCTGTGGTGCTCTGAGTGGTGGACAGAGGGATGGGGATCACCAAGGAAGGTCCAGTGAGGGGACATGAAGGGATCTTCTGGTGACACAAGCTCCACGCTGTTTCACAAAGGAGATGGGGTTTGGGAGCAGCTCATGGGGCTCATCACATCAGCATGCATGGCCCTAGCTTCCAAGAACATTTACCAGAGTGAACTCCATAGATGAGGCAGGATCAAGGGTGCATTTGGTCTGGATTAGGCAGGGAAAAGGAACCTGAGAAGTTGTTCACTGGGGAGATCAAGAAATATATTATTTTTAAAAAAGGGGAAGGAATAAAAGAATCTGGGGCTCCTCTCACCACGCTGATCTCTTGCTCCTCCAGCTTTGCTGCTACTCCAGAAAGATGTGTTCCCGTGGATCCTGCCACAGCCACGAAACCTCCTGCCACGGATCCCACTCCTCCTGCCATGGATCCCGCTCCTCCTGCCATGACTCAGGACTCTCCTGCCATTACACCATCCAGAGGCAGCCAGTGCAGAAGTTCACCTACGTGACACCCTGCTGTCCCCCCGTGCAGCCCTATTGCCCCCCTGTGCAACGCTATTGCCCCCCTGTACAACCCTATTGCCCCCCAATCCCCTATTGCCCCCAATACACCAAGAACATCTGCAAGCTGCCACCAACATGTCCCAAGTACTAGGAGAAGAATCTGGCCCTAGATCTGGACCCATCGGTCCTCATCCAAAGCCTTGACCTCATCTCCTTACTCATCATTTACACTTCTCTTCAAGCAAACACTTCTCAAATGGTTGGAGGGCAGCGTGGTATTGGGATGGTCTCTCAGTTTCATGCCTTTTGACCTTTTTATCTTCTTTCTGCCAACGCAGAAACTGTCCCCTGGGAACAGTTTCCTTCTTGCTTTGCCTCTTCATTCTCCAGCAAGACAATAAAAATTATATTTCAACCTACCTAAGAGTTCTGGATGTTTTTAGTCCTATCTGCTTCTCTGGCAGCATCTGGGTTTTTTTTTTTTCTCGTGGTTTTAGAGGCATGCTTTAATCACCGGTGAAAATAGATAAAGTAGGAGGAATTCCAAGGAAACATGAAAGTCAAGGAAAATGCCCACGGCACCCAGTGGTGATGCCAGGAGTGTTGCACCTCACGCTGCAAGAAACACCTTGAGATAATTCCTGGTGAAACCAAAGATCTGCACTGAGCTCAGTAGATACAACGGGGGGATTCAGCGTCACAGCCCGGGGCTTGGCTTGTGCCTTCATGTTTTTCCTGCAGATGTGATTTTTTTTTAAAGCAGCTGTTATATTTGGAAACAAAAGCAAGCAAATCCTACAGGGTTTGGAATCCCTGCCTTGGAATACCATCAATTAAATAATTTCTCCAGTGTAAAATGAGAGAAGGTTTCCCCAAGGTGATTCATCCATCCCAGGGCAGGCATGAGAAATAAGCTGGATGAGCTGGGCACTGCAAGTACCTAGTAAACAAGCAGGTATAGAAATAATATATTGGTATATAAATAATTGGAATTAGTTATTTACAGGTTAGGGAGAAAATTGTCATTATAGAGGAAGAACCTGTTGAAAAGGAAAAGTTGCAAACAGGATGCAGAGAGCAATTAATGACTCACCTGCATTCAAGCTGTGGCCATTGCTGAGGGATGGCTCATTTTCATGCGACCCTTGGCATTAAAAACTCCTTTCCTTATTCATTCTTCTCCTCTCCGTGGTTGGGTATTGAGTCAGGAAGGTTTTCTGTCCATAGGAGTGGTTTTGTGTTCACGTACATATGTTCACTTTCTCTTGCTGCCCCAAGCCTTCACCTTTCCATTCTGTCACTAATCACACCACATTTATTTTTTTTCCTCTTCCTTTTCCAAGTCCCACAAAAGGCACAAAGTCTCTGAACTGGTTACACTTTCTGCTGGGCTCAAGCTCAAAGCTCCAGTTAACAAGAGGGTGAGAAATGGCAGTGGGGAAACAGGAATGAAGCCCTTTCCTTTCCTTTCCTTTCCTTTCCT